GGGGAGGGGTGAATATGCGGAGGGAGGTGCTGAGGGATACTATGTTTGAGGGAGCAAGGGCAGCTGAAGCCGGCTTGCGGCACGGCGCGCAAACGATCGATCCGCGTCAAAGAGGGGGTTGATTGGGACTTGGAAGCATGTCGAGTCGCCCGAGAGCTGGCCCACGCAGAGCTGTGGCTACTCACACGAGCCTGGGCAGGGCTGCTCCAGGGTCGGTTGCGCCCAAGCATTCGCACAAAGCAGTGCGCGACCCTTGCTTCCGCGGCGTGCGAGTACGCACGCCGCAGGCCCACCGCACCGTGCGAGTAGCCCATCAGCCGCGGCACGCTGGGCACGATGTCGCTGGCGTTGGTGATTCGCCACGCGCGGTTGTGCAGCCTCTCGTCAAACACCTTGGCAAAGGCCTTGTTGCCGACGCGGGGGGCGCCAAAGGTGTACATGGACACCTCCAGGCTGCCCGCGCCGGTCTTGGGGCTGCGGAAGGCGAGGGGTCAGAGGGAGGGGGGGCAGGGAAGGGGAGGGTGTGAGGGGTGGTGGGTCGGGTCGTAAGCTGGTGCTGTGGGGCCCTGCTCCGGCCCCATGGAGTGGGGCCCTGCTCCGGCCCCCCCGCGCGTCTGTGCCTCCTGCCTCCACCCCGCACCACCCTTCTCCCCTCCCCAACACACACACACTCATACACATACACATACAAACGCACACTCACTCACTCACGCACACACACCCTCGGTCACACACTCGCTCCCACATCTGCCCCACCCCCGGCCCCTTGCCCCTGCTCACGGGCGCGCCGAGAGGTCGTAGGCACACAGCGTGGCGATGGCGCCCCCCAGGGAGTGGCCGGTGATGCGCACGCGCCAGGGCTTGGAGGGGGTGGCACTCTCTGTGATCTGGTCGACAAGCGTGAAGACCTTCACCTGTTGGTGGGAGCGGTTCGAATTTGTGACATGAGATCACGCGATCTGCATGAGAGAGTCGGGGATTTAGAGGCAGTACCAACACCAAGGGGGGCGTAGAGCAATGCAGAGTGAAGGGCGACACCACACAAGGCGGGGCAAAGCATGCATGCTCCGCGCTGGGACGGCTCAGGTGCATTGCGGCAGGTCCGCTGCACTCACCCAAGCCAGCAACAGTGCGGAAGGTCAGACGAACGACAGGAGGTAACTGCCCGTCAGCGTTTATAGACGCCACCCCATCCGGGCCTGCTTAGTCATGCAGCAGCTCCGCCCGCGCTCGCCCCCCCCGGTCGCCCTCACCCCCCTCGCCCTCACCCCTCCCAGCCCCTGCCCTCCAGCCCCATTCCCTCATATCTGAACGACCCCCTTCCCAAAAACCAAACGTCCACCCGGTGACCCCACCCCCCGCCCCACCTTTACTGAGTCGTATGCATTGAGGAAACCCGAGTGCACCATCGTCTCCTTGCCTGGGGGCGGCAAGGGTTAGGGGGAGTGGGGCCGGCGAGCGTTCGAGACAGGAGTCGAACGTGGGTCGCGGACCGGCCCGGGGCCTCGTAACCAGTTTGGCGCGGCGGG